CCCAGGACCCTGGGATCATGACCTGAGCCGAAGGCAGACGCCTAACGACTGAGCCACCCAGGTGCCCCGAGAAATTCATTTCAAGCCATCTCTTGCGCTTGTGACTCCATGAATTTCCCAAAAGCTCTTATGTGGGAATGGAGTTCCATTTAGAATTCATCCCATTCATTAAAAATCAGTACAAGTTAAAAAAAAAAAATCTGAACCTCATTCATTATGAACCCTGTGATGTGGTAAATCAGGCCAAATTCCCTTGAGGAAACAAGTCCAGGGAGTAACAAAGAATAGCAGTGTGGAAATCAGAAAACAGGGGCCCTGGTCGAGGTTCTGTCCCTAACAAGCTTGGTGACCATGGGTGGGCCCAGCCTTTCTCTGTCTTGGCATCCACCACACAAAATTAAGGAAAAGGAACTATAGATGTTATAAATTTACCTACTTGATGGTACCACCCAATCACTGCAATTAGGCTTCAGCTATAGAGAAACTGGGCAAGAGTAGCTCAACTAAGTCTGCAAGTTAAACTGGGATATTTATTTCCTACAGTCCAACTAGTAGTCTAATCAGTAAAGCTGTTAAACTTGCAATAATATTTCACTGATGTGTACCAGAGCGTTGCAAGTTATAAAATTTCCAATTTAATTTTACTGCATCCCTGAAGCCGTAGTAATTAGAAGACAGACTCACAGGGAAGATGTTTATAGCTTCAGGGGTGATAATTTTGAACCTGTCCTGCAGGTCACTTCTGTCCTCAAGGTTCCCCGATTTGACAGCTGCCTGTAGACTCAGGATTTTATTGTAATACCGCAGTAATTCGTCGTTCATCTGAATGGAGCAGATGTAGATGACGCTCACATTGGCATCTAAAAACAACAGGCACAATGTTAATTACTGGTATAAAGGTAAATGACATTCTGAACTCTGGCATCAGATTGATGTTGCACAGTTTAAAATAAAGAGCATATCCAAAAGCCACACTGAAGTTAATTTAGATTGGTTTTGTACAGATCTTCGCCATTTAACTGGCTTTTTTGCATTTTAGCATTTCTCTAAAGAAAAGATAAATAACACCACCACCAAAAAATAAGACACAATGATTCCTTCAGAAGGAGGTACTTCTGTGTACTGTGAGGTACTATGGAAGTGTGCTTTCAAATAATACATAGGGATTTAGCCCCAGAACTACCATTAACATCAATGGGAATTGCATAGTGCTTTAAAAATTTATCCCATTAACTTCAGTAAATTATAAAACAGAGCTATTAACTTTAGAAAGCTGATGAAGTTGCAATTTCTTATTCTGCCTGGACTTGGCAGGGCCAATTCAGGGAACATCCTGTCCAAATAAATGGTCTGATTATGACCATAGCAATGATTATTTCAGGAAACCAACCTTTTCCCTACTCCATTCCCAAAGAGGAGTATATTACTTAAATAGGACATCTAGTGATTCTTGGTTTAAAGGAAACGCTGTCTTAATTTAACTGTCTTTCTTAAGTTGTGCTTCTTAGTATGTACATAGGAAGAAATCCTAATTAAATATCCCACCCAAATGGGATAGTGAGATGAGATTACCCACTGCATGTTTTTAATATTTTAAGGACTCGGGACAGGGAATCAGCAGCCACTGGAGTCATTCATTCATTCATAAAATAACTGGTTGATCGGTAGGGGCAAAGCACTTGGCTAGACATGGAGGGAAATGAGGAGTCAAAGCAGCTGGGATAATGCCCATGAGGAGCGACCATTTCATGGGCACAAACAGGCTTCAAACAAGGTGGAGAGTGGCGGACCCAGTGAAGCACATGGAACAGGTGCTTCGGGAAGTTCGGGGGAGGCAGAACTGTAAAATATTTCCTTGGTCAGGTAGGGCTCAGAGGGGATTTGAGGACTCCTCTGTTCAGTTTGACAAGAGTGTATAGAACACGGACTGATTAAATTCCAGCTCAGCTGCCTGGGAACATTGGGCACAGTATTTAACCTTTGTAAGCATCAGTTCTTCATCTCCAAAATGGAGAAGAAAATCACCTGGGACATAGAGTTTTGAAGCGTATTAAATGAAAGGATACCTGTAAAGCACCTGGTGCGGTATCTGGCACATAGTAGGTAGTCAGTAAACAATACAGCTGCAGGAATCTGCGGCACGGCCCACCCTGACTAGGGGAGCCGACAGTGATTCCACACCCTGCCCTCCATGCTTGTGCTCCCTTTAACAGCACCCCCAAGATTCAACATGATGTAGTATCCTCGGGCATTTCATCCTACTGTCTCAAATCTATTAATCTTGTCTCTCTAAACTCTTTAAAGGCAAGGTGTGTGCTCTTTCCTATATTCCACCAAGCCCGAGTACGGTGTGGAGCATGCAGGAGCCACTCAGTAAATACCTGTGGATTGACCGGAGGGATGTGGGAGGATGGAAGGATTTGTGAAGTAGAGAATCTCACACAATCAGTGAGATCAATGGCCCGTGGGAGAAATCCTCCCCCTGGAGAAGTGGTGTCCTCCAAACTGGCCCCGTGCTGAGTGGCCCCATGCTGAGCCAAGAGGAGGCACTCCATAAATGTAAATATGTAAGTGGACCCTATTTGATTTTGAAACCAAATTGTCACATAAACCTTAAAATAAATTAACTGAGGAGACAGTAAATAACTTGTATCCAGTTGCTGAATGACCAAATTATTTATCCCAAACTTTGGGTTTGCAAGAGGAGACTAGTGTCTTACTAAACTAAGGGTACCTCACAGCTCTCCTTCTGAAGGAATCATTGTGTCTATTTTTTTCGTGGTAGTGTTATTTATCTCTTCTTTAGAGAAACGCTGAAGTGCAAAAAAGCTGGTTAAATGGCGAAGATCTGTACAAAACCAATCTAAATTAACTTCAGTGTGGCTTTTGGATGTGGTCTTTATTTGGTTTTAAAAACCAAACTAGGATTTTTTTTAAGTATTAAAAAAAGACATAAAAACAAACAACAAAAGAACTTCAGTGTGGCTTTTGGATATGGTGTTTATTTGGTTTTAAAAACCAAACTAGGATTTTTTTTAAGTATTAAAAAAAGACTTAAAAACAAACAACAAAAGTAAAGACTCCACAGCTGAAGAAAACTAAATTTTTCTTGGGAAGCAGTTTCTAGGTTGCAAATAACAACAAATCATATTGCTCATCTCACCCTCCCTGTGCATTTCTGGCAAAGGAATACATATCACTAACACGAATATCCAATATTTGTTTGTGCATCTGCAAATGTTCAAAATTAATTGACAGGTAATTTTGGAAAGCAATTAATATGAAGACAAAGATTGCTTTGATCGCCAGTCAATAGTCAATAATGGTCACTCTCTTGCTTAACTCCTCTAGGAATTGAAAATACTGGTAGCCATTGGGGTCTCCACCTGACAACCTGACTTCACCGCCAATATCCAAATGACAGGTCTTACCAACCTAATCAGATTCTCTTTGTTTTCCCTGAATAAGCAAAAAGTCAACACACTTCACTAGGAATTAATGGAGTTAAAAAAAAAAAAGATAATCATTTATTCTTACATAAAATTACTATTTTTCCTAGTTTCTTCATATTTTTTTTAAAAATTTCACAAGCAAGTACTTTTTCTACCTTCTAACTACCGTTTCTAAACTTCCATTACATCTCTTGAAGAGGTTTTGGGATCAGATTGCTATATCATGAAGACAGTGTACCAAAAAAAGGCATTTGGTTCATAGTCTCTCAGAAAAGTTCATATTAGTGAAATTTTCCATTGCAGGTAAGACATAGACTGAACTATTGCATTATTTAAAATAGAAACCTCATATTTTCAAATGTTTTCTAATAATGAGACTCTTTTGTAAAGAAATTCTTTGGTCATGGTTTGTGCTATATATAGAAGGGTATATAAAAAGCTAAAGAAAAAAATTAATTCAAATAAATTAGAGCAAAGTCTGCCCTCTGCTGCACTTCAGTGGTTTCCACTCAGTCAGGTTTTTAGTTGAAATAGCTCAGCACTAACAAATCAATTTCAAGTCATTAAAAAAAAATTTTTTTTGTAACTCTGAAAAACGATATTAGTGCCTACATAATAGATTAAAGCAATTACACTATTATTATTTTAGAACACTGTAAATTTCTAGTACTGATGTATTTTTGTTACCAAATGGCATTTATAAAATAATAATGATGCTGAAATATATATGAATCATATAAAGTATGTCATTCCGGGGAGCCAGCTGAGTTGGTCATTGATAATTTAAAATTCTTCCTTGTTTTGCTTAAATAAAGGCCATAGCGGTTATATTTTCGCAAAACAAAGAAGTTGTTATTCGGTAACTAATAAAAACCTAATTTTTGTTTACCCTGAATTTCTGGCCAGTAGCTTCTAAACTGATTCAGTATTAGTGCTTAGCCTTTGCGACCTTGTGTTAAGCCTAACCTGAACCTTGGTCTCGAGCAGCACCAACCAGGGCATTATTGTGTTCTCCCCTGGCCCAAGTTGGTGTCTGATTTAGAACTGACCAAGCCAGTATCAGACCCTGACCTTTACAAGGAAATATCTACCACCTGAGGTCTATATTTCTAAGAATTCCATCTCCTAGGCACCTCCTGTTTTCTAATAACTAGATGATATGTATTTAAATAAAATCTTCTTTTAAAAAAAAAAACCTATCTTCACATTCCTCTTAGTCTTATAGTGAAAACAATTCTTTTCACTTCCGATACCACCTTCCACTTACTCCCCAGATAACATAATAGACAATATTGACACAGATATAAAATGTTGGCTTCCCTCACTGCTGGAGTCGGGAAATGAAGAGGATTTGGGGCTATAGGAGAGAAATCCTCAGAATTTAGAAAAAGCAACCCAAAGAAATTAGTTAAAAATGTCATTTTTTAATTCAAGTCAACGCCACTATAAATCTGTTCTTTAAAACCAAACATTTAATTTGCCCCACCGGTAGATTAGAAATCCACACTTTTTCCTTGCAGGGGAAAAAATAAGCAAAAATTAAACATTTTTATCAACATCCTCTGATAAACATTCCCAAGAGTCATTTGTGTGAAAGTATTTACTATACCTAAGATGTCACACAGCCTCCCCAGCTGCATGTTCTGCTGTGTGTTGAAGTCGTCAATATTTTGCCTCACAGGCAGAGAATATCCTAAAAGGTAAACAAGATGTCAAAACGCAGAAAGAGCAAGTCAGTATGGCAAAATGGCACACTACGATTTTCAGAGGTCACAGTCCACATTTCTAGGCAGGAATTTTCTCAGAAGCATCTTGCAGACACAGCCTAACTCCTAAGAATGAGATCCTTGCTTCTCAGGAGACTAAGCATTATTCTGGAAGATTTGTTAAGCAGCATATTCTGCAAAAGAAGAGTTTGTATTTTTCAATACCAGCAAAACCACCGGGAACCAAGATTATAAAACCATGGGGAGAATGTCTGACATTGAACATGAATGTTCAAAACAACATTGAAGAAAATTATGCTCAGGGTTTAAAAAACAAACAAACAAACTGTATTGGCTCTTTTTAACTTATGTTTCCTGTGTGGCATTTTGAAGATGTGTCCCCAGAATCATTCTAAACTAACACACGGATTTCAGGGAAACCCCTTGCTGTCAGGAATATGTATTTAGGTAATTCTGAATACTAAAGAAATATGCTTCTGCTCACCCAGTCAAAAGAAATTTTAACCTTTAGAGGGCAATAAAGGTTAATGCAGTTACTTTGTCAGTACTGATAGAAGTCCTGCAGTTTGCCTTCGTGTCCACTGGAAACAGAGCAGAAGGAAAATACATGTGGATTACTCTTGTACAAAACTAAAAGAAGAAACAGCGGCAACTCTTCCTGCTGGCATTACAGGGGTTAAAAAAAAATAAGTGGATCAAAGCATGAACTTAAAAGGCACACATACTCACAGGCAGGTATAATTGCTTATATGAAATTCAGCAACTGTTGGTGCAATTTTTTTTTTTTTGAGTAAAATTGCTTTTCACATTTTGAAGAGATGCTTCAATGCCTCCTTGTGGTTAGTGAGCCCAAACACATGTTTCAAGTTAAACTGCTTTAGATAAAGTGATTTTAAATATTACATCTTTGAGATGTGACACAGATTTCCTTTTCAGCATAAGGAAAACTATAGCAATTCAGGCAACAGGGCTTCAGATCAAATGCACTCTGATAATTGGCTCTTTGCTTTGATGTCAGTGTTTAAACACTAGACGTCGTCTGGAAATTAAATGAGCTTACAATTCATCTTAAAGTCTCCCTTTTGCTTTATGCAGATGAACTTAAGAACTACAGAGGCAGAAGGACAAATAGCTTGTTCGAGTTATTTTTGAAAAATTATTAATTTCTAAAATAGGTTGGGGAACCCTTCCACATATGAAAGTGTAGACCGCTGCAGACAATGCCGTCTTGATGTGTGATTGCAGTACTGGGACTCTTAGGATTTTGCATATGTATAATTCTATCTATATTCAGATAAATATTTAGGAAGATGTCTTGTGAATAACTTCTATATCCAAACTATAAGAAGGCAGGAAAAATGCCTAAAGAATAAAGTATGATTAAGAAAAATGCCGGAGAGCATTCCACGGATGCATTTCCTTTCAAAAGTAAAGATAAAAGGCAGTGTGAGATGTCTCATTAAGATGATGTCCAATTTAAAATATAAAGGATGTCTGATCACTTTGTTGCCGCATGTGAGTAAGTCTATGTTTCAATCAAGTGCTGGAGGTCAGTTTTCCAACAAATTACTTGGTACCTCTGTTACCACTGATCAAGGACGCATATGAAATGTCTATGCAGAATTATGACAGAACTGGTTACTCAGTTAACCCTACAAATACACCCATTTTAAAGAACTGAATGTTAGCAATCTCAGAACACTGTTACGGAGGCTCACATGAAGTAACAGATATGAAGACATTTTGTAAACTGTGAAGTGCTGTACAAACATAAGGTATTTTAATGTTATGGGGTATATGTGCTTCCAAAGCCCATAACAAGAAAAAGTCCTGTGGCAAGCCACAGGCCATTCTACATGGACAAGGTACAATGCAGTGAACATTGCCATCAGCAGAGCAGAAGTTGGGAGTCAATTTTTTAAAAAAGTCAGATTTATTATGTTTCATACACCCACAAACGTACGTGTTGACATCCAGATGAAAAGATGCTCATCAATGCTGGCAGTACATATATTAAATCCAATAGTGACTTAACCACTAAGCTATTGGCAAGGATGTTGTGGCCTTGGGGAACTCAGCAGACCTGCCCAGTGACAATGAACCATCACATTTCAGAATATAATCTGCAGAGACACGGGTACTTCAGAGGTCAGATAGAAACACAGGGTGAGTTTTTGAGACACCATCTACTTCAACCCTGTTATGTTATAGATAAGAAAAACCAGGGTAAGTGCCTTGTCTCTTGTCCAAGATCACATAAACCTACAAATTACTATACAGTTCGGACAGGACATATTTAGCTCTTGCATAAATGTGGTTGCATAAAAGAAGAGTGAGGCAAGACTCTCCAAATGTGAGCAGAGAACCCTAGAAGGGACAAAGAGCCTCTGCCTCTTTTCTCACTTTTATTTCCAATTGTTGCAGCAGGCAGAATAATGGCCCTCCAAAGATGTCCATGTCCTCATCCCGGCAACCTGCGAATATGTTAGGTTACATGGCAAAGGGAAATAAAGTTGCAAATGGAATTAAGGTTGCTAATCGGCTGACCTTTAAATAAGGGGATTATCCTGGATTATTTGGCTAGACCCAGTGTAATGACAAGGGTCCTTAGAAGTGGAAGAGGGAGGCAAGAGAGGAGAGAATTAGAGAAGGTGTGACTATAGAAGAAAGGCACATAGAGATGCTTGTTGCTGGCTTTAAAGATGGAGAAAGGGGGCCAAGGGCTCTCCTCATTCACACCTTTGTGGGCAGCTTCTAGAAGCTGGAAAGGGTAAAGAAGTGATTCTCCCCTAGAACTTCTAGAAGGAGTGCGGTCCTGCTGACACCTTGATTTTTAGCCCCTCTCAGACTTCTGAACTACAGAATTACTGCTCTAAGATAATACACTTCTATTGTTTAAGCCACTAAGCTTTTGGGAACTTGTTAAAGGGTGATAGAAAATGGATACGAGGGGTGCCTGGGTGGCTCAGTCGTTAAACGTCTGCCTTCAGCTCAGGTCATGATCCCAGGGTCCTGGGATCAGCCCCACGTTGGGCTCCCTGCTCCGCGGGAAGCCTGCTTCTCCTTCTCCCACTCCCCCTGCTTGTGTTCCTGCTCTCGCTGTGTCTCTCTCTGTCAAATAAATAAATAAAATCTTAAAAAAAAAAAAAAAAAAGAGAAAGAAAATGGATACGATGCCTACCTTCCATCTTCTTCTTTCAACTTCTATAAAATGGGGTCTCTGATCTGGAGAACTTGTGGGAATTCAAAGAATGGTGAGTGGGACCTGTAGCTCTTTCTAGGTCCTCATCAGCCTAGGAGAAAACAGCACTGGCATAAAGGGGCACTCTTTCTTCCTTACCACTTGAGAGAGGGACCCAGCCTCTTTCCTTATGGCCATCCCCATCACATGCGAAAATAGTCCATCTTTTCTCAAAATGTTACAGCCTCTGCTTCACATCAAAGGAGGATACCCGAGAGATGCCTCTGTGAAGTTATCCAACTACCTTTGCTGTTCTGCCAAACCAAGGATGCTCACCAGTGGTTACTCGTTACCATTCCTCCACCTCCATCTCTGCATTTTTCTCCTCTCTCATCCCTATCTCCACTCCCACGCAAACTCCTATCAGATGATACACTTCTATTGTTTAAGCCACTAAGCTTTTGGGAACTTGTTGCCAAGTTCCACCCAGGAACTAATTGCCTCTTTGCACCCAGGAAACTAGCTCTGCTGGATTGGCTTTTCCTTTGCAGAAACCACAGAAACCCATGAGCAAGGCCTTGCTCACAGTGACTGTGCCTCCTTGGGGCTGGTATGTGACAGGCCCCTGTTGTTGCACTGGAGCACATATTCTGGAACAGCCTGCTCATCACCCTGTGATTGGTTTCTAGTTCCCTTTGTCCCCTGGTCCTATTCCTTACAGGGTACCTAAGGCAGAGAAGAGGTTAACAATGGGCTTCTGGTTACCAAGAAGTTGTCATTTATCTGATCACCTTGGCCTAAGATGGTAGTCAACCAGGCCTCAATCTGATGGACTGGAGCAGTAGGTCTCAACTATTTGCCCGTTTTGAAACACGTGCTGTGTGATATTCACATGCATCCCCCACTCCTAGGGGCCAACACCGGGTGACGATAGCAGTAGCTATCACTCCGACCCTTTCCCTTCCATCCAAGAAAGCATACTGGATAGAAGCTGAGCCAAGTGACATCGTTATAGAGGCGATCTTGAATTACTCCAATTCATAAAAAAGTTAATGTTACCCACCTTTGGTACTCTAATCATAAAAATTTTCAGGGAACATGTGACATATGTCACAACTGATTGCCCATCAGCATACTGCAGTCATCCAGAGAAATGTGATCGAGGCATTATGGTTCTACCTAGGTTTTAATTACTTGTGCAACTGTGAAAGCACAAGCTACTGAGATCAAAGATTAAGAGATAGTAAGAGGGACACCTATCTGGGTTCTTTATGTACGTATGTGGTATACGCAGTGCCAGTTTGATGAAAATAAAACTGACCATTGTTTTGGGGGGTGCTGCTGAGGGGGATTAGGGAATTTTGTGATGGGGATGGAGAAGACACAGGAGGTGCTGAAGTATTTGTTGAGTGTTGAAAATATTCTCAAACTAAACTGGCCAAATGGATTCTGTACGGTTCTGGAAAGAGTAAAGACTTGGGGCGCCTGGGTAATACAGTCTGTTGAGTGTCCAACTCTTGGTGTCAGCTCAGGTCACGATCTCAGGGTTGTGAGATCAAGCTCCGTTTTGGGCTCCACACTCACTCAGCGGGGAGTCTGCTTGGGATTCTCTCCCTCCCTCTGCTCGCGCACTCTCTCTCTCTCAAATAAATAAATCTTTAAAAAAGAGAGAGAGAGGAAGGAAGACTTTCTCTTATTCGAACTTTTTATCAGTGACTTTATTATTGCATGGAGCTAAGGCCAGTGATTCTCAAAGCAATGTCTAGAGACTGTAGAAGGTCCTGA